CCTCCATGTCCCGCCCTCCCCTCATGTCCCATCCCCCACCATTTTCCATCAATTACTTTCTGAAGGGATGACGAATAGAAATCACTCTATAGGGGCCCAGCAGTAGAGGTCATGTGACTGTCATGGTGATCCGTGGTGGCGGAGCAGATCTGATCTCTCCCATTGTTCTCTCTTCAGGTGGACGGTTGCTATGACATCAATCTTCTGTCCTACACATGAGTAGGCGGAGCCTGAGTGCGGAATGTCGGATGGGGATCTCCCGGGGCACCCGGACGGCTCCGGATACCATAGCGAGTCACCTGCCCGGGACTTCCTCTTATGAGTTGTCACCACACCCCAATATCTGCCCCTACCATGAGGAGAAAGGGGCTCCGTGTCCCCAGAACAGACTGTGTGGAACATGACTCTGCCCCCTACCATACGTCATCAGAGCTGTGCCATAGCTCCGCCCCTACCATACCCTAATCACAGCGGTGTCATAGCTCCGCCCCATCATACATTCAGTGCTGTCATGGCTCCGCCCCTATCGTACATTCAGAGCTGTGCCATAGCTCCGCCCCTACCATACCCTAATCAGAGCTGTGTCATGGCTCCGCCCCATCATACATTCAGTGCTGTCATGGCTCCGCCCCTATCGTACATTCAGAGCTGTGACACAGCGAGCTCCACCTGGGAACAGATTCCGCTGATGACTTTTCTACAATAAAGGAATGATTTCCTCTCCCTGTGTCTGCCGTATTATTTCAGGTGTGGGCGGAGTCTACAATGTGGGAGGCGGGGTGTCACAGCTGCTACTGGACAGCCGGCTGCGGTCGCACCATGGGGTATCCCCTCACCCTTGGGGTGACCCTGCCCACCATGGGGTATCCCCTCCCTCCTTTTCAAATTCCAGCATCTCCGCAGATGATGCATTGCCATTGCACAGTGCTGTCAGTCTAACAGAATGAGCATGCTTACAGGAGGCAGTGTCAGCAGTTTGCTGCTCCTTCAGTGTCCAATCACAGGTTGGGGGGTGGGGAGGTGACACCACTCTATTTATTGAGATGGGATAAATGCTACAGTTGTCAAGAGAAGAGCGAGAGAGGTGAAATCTTCCAAGATGAGACTTCCTGTTGTGCCTCCTGAACAGGAAGTGAAGAGAAATCTGCTCAGGAGACACAGATATCCAATATTGGGTTTCTAACCTTCTTCTCTCCCAGAACACATCCCCGGTGACCCCATAGGCCGGAAGTACAGAAACCGGATGTAGATTTCACTGGGGGAAGTTCAACTCCAATTAATGACACTGATGCCCCGCCCCCTCCCAAGCGGATGATTGACAGCTGAGCGGGGGGGGGAGACTAAGCGCGCACGCTCACAACCTGCTGGAGGTGTGTGCCCGCGCATGCGCAGTACTCTCAGGTGTCGGAGATGCTGCGGGCGGTGTGTTCGGGTGTCCGGGGGGCGATCCGGGTGCAGAGGAGGGGGTACAGCGGGGGGCCACAGGTAATGACTGACCACTACTCACCCCATCATTGTGTGCCAGGTACCGCCACAGCGCCGACATCTGCAGGAGCGCTGCACGTTTGTGAGAACTTTGTATACCGGCAGCCATGGCGCTGTGTAGCAGTCATGTGACCATAGCGCTGACCTGAGCAGTAGTATCTCTGTGTTGTCTCCCTATGCACACTGCGGAGGACCCCTTCATCGGAGCCCACCATTATCTGACCTGGAGGGGCCCGGGGCCCAGCTGGCTCTGTACCGTGTGTATGGGGGGGAGGGGAGGTGGACTCTGCCCCGTGTCCCGGAGCCAAATGTCCCCAATCCGTGTTCTGGAATTTACTTCCCTCCACCGCACCCACCCTCAGGGGGGAGGAGAGGGCAGAGACTGGCACCCCGGGGGGAGGAGAGGGCAGAGACTGGCACCCCGGGGGGAGGAGAGGGCAGAGACTGGCACCCCGGGGGGAGGGGAGGGGGCACCCCGGCCAGAATGAGTTTTGTCCTTTTTTTAAACTGCTGGTTCCCATCCATAGACTCTTAGTTTGGGGGCTTGGAGGGTGTTATCGGGGGGAGGGGAGGGCAGAGACTGGCACCCCCCCGATCCTCTGGGACCGCGGCAGGGGGGATCAAAGATTCCTCCTCGGATCCGGTTCTGTCATTAGTGGCGTTCGCTCTGTTGGGCCGGCGTTGTGATCTCCGCCTCCTCCGGGTCCGGCATTCCGGGAGGTCGGAGTTCTCCTTCACTCACCCTCTTCTGCTCTCTCCTCAGGTGGACGCGCCTCGCCGCACCGCGCTCTACGACTTCCACCGCCATCATGGCGGCAAGATGGTGGAGTTTGCGGGATGGAGTCTGCCGGTGCAGTACAAGGACAGCCACATCGCCTCTCACCTCCACACCCGCCAGCACTGCTCCCTCTTC